ACGCAGTGGGTAGATGTAGCCATGCTGAGCCAGGAGTGTGCCCAGGTGCAGGGCCTCTGACGAGAACGAAAACTAAGCGCTCAGCCAGCCTCCCCCTCCACACACCCCGATTCGCGGTGTGCCTTGACTCTCACCCTCCTCGGAGATGCAGAACTTCTGAACCAGCCATTCCACGACATCTCTGCCTGCACGGGAGAGGCGAAGTGGGCGGAGACCGCGGCGCCCTGCTCCCCCAGGGTGTCCACGAGTCTCACCCGCTACCGCGTGGGGAATGGCGGTGATCAAAAGGCGCTGGCTCCTCATCTTCACGCCCTGGTCAGGGTCCTGCATACTCACGATCATCCGCTCCATCTGAGAGCGAGCGCGGGAGGTGGGGGTAACAACTCAGATCGCTCGCAGTTGCCCCCAGGATCCCCAGGCCACCGCGCGGGGATAACAAACTGAAGCAGCAAAGGCCCGGACCAGGGCCACCCAGTGCTGTTATTCTGAACTCCCAGTGCTTTCCCGGGTCTCCCCAGTGCTCTTCACCCACCTCTCCTGCCGCGTTCCACGACCCCTTCCTGCCAAACCTTATGCCCACAGGCCAAGGACGCACCTTGCTGAGATGTGGCCTCTGCGTGCGGGAGGACCGGCCGTGGGGTGTGCAGCCCGCAACCGTGGCCATGGCGGATGTCCTAGAGGAGACGCCCCGCCCCTTGCCGGCCCCTCCCGCCAAGGTTAACCGTGTGAGCACAGGTTCCCGCACGACCAAGTCAACGGAGCTCTCTCAGGCTGTGACTTGGGATAGCCTGCCGTGGGGGCAGCCTGAAACCTCAGATACCTGCCAAGCAAGGAACCTGCCTTGGTCTGGTGGCTACCTACCTCAGGGCTTGGTCTTGGAGATGGGGCATTTCACCAAAGCTCTGGAAAAAGACAGGTTTTCATCAGGGTGGAGACAGTAAGAAAGGATGAACCTTGCAAGGGATGGAGAACTCCAGCAGAGGCGTCTGTGACTAGGTGGACCAGGTTGGGAGCAGCGGTTTAGGGTCTTGGTAGGCGCTACTCTATCCATCTTAAGGAGTGCAGGGGCCAGCAGAGTCAGGGATGTGGGATCAAGGCTGTAGTTTGACTGGCCCAAGGGTATCCTGTCAGGTATGTGGCACCATGTATGGCCATGGTGGAGCCATAGAGTGGTATGATGTAGCCCACACCTGGCAGGATTACTGACCATTTAAAAAAAGGGCACAAATGGGTCCTTTCTTTCCTGAGGATAGGGTGCCCTCTTTCTCTTCCCTACCCAAGGGATGCTGGGAGCCAAAGGAGGGAGAATTTGCCTTACTGAGGCCAGGAACCTTCAATATGTTATTTGAGTTGATCCCAATGGATCAGGAGGCTGGAGAGTGTCCTGCCTAGATATGTTACATCTGCTGTAGATCCCAGCCTTCTCCTGTCCCCTGCTTCACCTACACATAAGGTCAGGCTGACCAAAGGACAGCAGTCCTCCCTGGATGAGTAGGCATTCTCTGGAAGTTTCAGGCTGCTGGCCGCTGAAGCCATCCCCAGCTAAGGACAAGTAATTTCAGTGTCTAACACTACACACTCCCTGCAGGGCAGGGGTGGGTCTCCCTGGAATCCTGGGCCTTCTTGAAGGGTTTTGCTTTGGAAAGGTAGTAGGCAGTGTGACCACTAGCCCAGTGCTTCAGCGTTCATGGTCCCTGCTACTCAGAAAAGCAAAGGTGGGTTGATCCCTGGTTCTCTCCAGAGAGGAAAAACACTCCTTTCAACAACTTCCTTACTCAGATCCAGGCCTTTAGTTCTGCAGTCTTCAGCTGAAGGCCCAGCTCACCAGCCATCTGCCTTGGCTAACCAACATCCCCTCCCATCCCTAGAGCTCCTCTGGATGTCAAGATTAAGAAATCTCTCAGCACCCACTTTCTGTTTCTTCAGCATCCTTTCTTTTCCCGGTCATAGGAACCTGCAGAATTGCCTGAGTCCCAGGTCCCCACAGACACATCCCCCACCCCACATTCACAGTCTGCACCAATAAGCTTTAAGGGATCCTTGACTCTGTGTGGCCCAGACTGCACTTCAGTATGTGGGCGCCCAGAACCAACAGGGTGTGGCCCAGCTGGAGGCTAATAGGCCCTGAGAGTCCCCTTTGCCCAGACAAGAAGGAGGGAGCAGGTGGAGGGTTGCGGGGCTCCAGGTGTGCCCTGCGCCGCCTGCTGATAATGGGAGTCCAGGGACGTGGGGGCGTCGCACCTGTTCCACTTGGCGTCCCTGGCCGGCACGCCCCGCCTAGGGGATCCCGGGGGACCCGACTCCCCGTGGGGGTGGGGCAGCCCTGGGTCCCTGGCGACGCGTCCCGGCGCGGGGCGCGGCAGGGACGACGGGGTTCCGGCGCGGTGCGGACGACACGCGCGTCTCTGCGGGCTGCGCGGGGTCCGCGGAGCGGCTGGGGGCGCGCGGCGCGGGCGCGGCGCTGGGCGCGGGGGGCGCTCCCGGCCGGGATGAGCTCACCGCAGTCGCGCCGGGGCTGAGCCGAGCGGGCGGCGGCTCCGCGGCGGGCCGCGGCTACCATGCTGGGCCTGGACGCGTGCGAGCTGGGGGCGCAGCTGCTGGAACTGCTCCGGCTGGCGCTGTGCGCCCGAGGTGAGTGGCCCGGCCGGGAGGCGGCCACGTGCGCCGGGGGCAGCAAGAGAGCCGTGCGGTTGGGGGGTCAGTCCCCGCGGCAACTTTGGGGGGCTCGTGGGGACCTCGTGGCGTGGATTCTGGCCGGGCGTGGGACTTCAGTTTACGCAGACCCTTCTGGGGAAGGGAGCCAGGAGGAAAGGAGTGTGTCCAGCCCGGAGGCTGCGGCCTCTCCCGTAGGTGGGGCTGGGGCTCCTTCCGGTGAGAGGCAATCCTAAGGTTGGAGGGCAGTAGGCAGCATCTCAGTGAGACTCCTGCCCAAGACACCTAAAGCGGATATGGAGACCCCTAGTTTGGGGCACCACCGCAGGGGCCTAGGACATTATGAGAAGAGCTCAGAACTGGGGAGCCCCTAGAGTTCCCCAGGGCCACTCTCTTTAAGGCTAATCAGAAACAAACTGGTCTCTCCAGGGTCTGTTAGGAATCTCTTCCAGTCACCAGAGCCCCTCCTGAGGAGACCAAGCCTAGAGACTTCTAGGGACTCAGGGGCCACCGTGTGTCGGTGACGGTGACAGCTCCTCTGGCTTCTTTAGCTTCACTGGGCAGTGGGAGGCACACCTGGTGAGAGTGTGGGTCCCAGTCAGCAGGTGGCAGGTGCTTAAATCCCTTCCCCTACTCCCAGTCCTCTTGGCTGACAAGGAAGGGGAGCCAGTCCCAACAGATGAGGTGCTGGACGAAACTGTACCAGAGTACCAGGCCCCTGGGAAGAAGAGCATGCTGGCAATCTGGCAGCTGGACCCTGAGGACGTGAGCCTGGTCAAGTACAAGCAGGCGCTGCTGGGGCCCCTGCCACCCGTTGTGGGTATGGCCTGGGGCCTGGATGTGGGGGGTCGCAAGCAGGGGGTGGGGGAAGGTGGGGCCAGCAGGGTACCCTGTGGATGCTGTTTCTCCTCAGACCCCAGCCTGCCCAACGTGCAGGTGACCAGGCTGACGCTGCTGTCTGATCAGGCTCCAGGGCCTCTCGTCATGGACCTTACAGGTAACCCCCTCTGCAGACCAGAGCCCCATCTTTGGATGAAGACGATCCTAGGCTCGACCCTGTGCAGAATCCTACTTCCTTGGGTGCACTGCCACAGACGTCATGGGCACCACCAGTCCCTACATAGACATTCCTGGGGCAGGGTCTTGCACATCTTGGAAATTTAGAGTGTACCTGTTATTTTTCTGACAGGAGACCTGGCTGCCCTGAAAAACCAGGTGTTTGTCCTGAAGGAGGGCATTGAATACAAGGTGAAGGTCACCTTCAAGGTGAGGGCAGCTGCAGTAGGGGGCCAGCCGTGTCCCAGCCTTCCAGAGAAGGCTCCTAACATTCTCCTTTCCCCCAGGTCAACAAGGAGATTGTCAGTGGCCTCAAATGTCTGCATCACACCTACCGTCGGGGACTACGTGGTGAGATAGTGTGGAGGGCAGCTGTAGGCTGGGAGAGGTGGGCAGAGGGGTGGCTCCTGACTACCTTCCTTCTGCAGTGGACAAGGCCATCTTCATGGTGGGCAGCTATGGCCCCCGGGCCCAGGAGTATGAATTTGTGACGACAGTGGAGGAAGCACCAAGGGGCGCATTGGCACGTGGCCTCTACGTGGTCAGGTCCCTCTTCACTGATGATGACAGGCTTGACCACCTATCCTGGGAGTGGTGCCTCCACGTCTGCCAGGACTGGAAGGACTGAACCTCCTTGGGGCCTGTGTTCCCAGTTTCTGTCAGTTGTAGAAGGACCTGCAAGCATCCCCTAGACCTCCCAGTTGGTGATCAGATGTCCCTCACTCTGCTGTGTCCCCCTGCCTGGTGCCCATTAAATGTTACCCTGTCTCGCTGCCCTCGTGTTGCCTCTTTCTGCCTATCTCCGCCCCTAAAGGGCCTTTCACGCTTTATCTTCTCTGAGACCCAGCCAGGTGCCACGTGGCTGTTGCTGCTTGGTCCCCGGTCCCTTTATCTACTCCAGCCTTCAGGGCTCAGCACGCCATGGATGGTCGGCTCCTGCCAGTGTTGCTGCTCCTGCTGGGTGTCTCAGGCCCATGGGGACAGGGACAGGAATCTGAGGGCCCTTCAGAGGTGCTCCCTGAGGAGTCCACTGGGGAAGAAGTCCCCACGGATGATGGGATCTTGGTCCTGAGCCACAACACCCTGAGCCAGGCACTACAGGAGCATCCAGCCCTGATGGTGGAGTTTTGTGAGTGCTTCAGCCAGCGGTTTGGGGACCTTGGGGGCCTACGAGTTCAGGCGTCTACTTCCTAGACTTGGCCTTTCTGGCGAGAGGGTGCCTGGACGGAGGCCCTGATGTTGAGCTGGGCTTGGTGGTGGTCTGGTCTGGGTGGCAAGGTGTGGTGGAAGAGGAGTAGCAGCTGGAGGACATGTGATGCCCAGAATCCTCTCCTCTGTCAAGCGATGGCCACATACGGATGTTACTACCTTTGGGGCCTCTATTCCAAATGACTGGTCACCGGTCCTTCTGTGGAGGCACAGTGTCCAGTTTGGGTGCTCATGCCATATCCTGTGGCATATGTGTCTGTGGTTCCTTATAACCCTTTACAAATGTCAAAGCCATTCTTAGCTGGCAGGCTTTAGAAAGCAGCTGCATGTGGCCCTGGAGACAGGAAGCAGGATTCTTCCCAAACTCTCCCCAACCTCACTGTGCCTGGGCCCTAGGAGTCTCTGGGGTCTGGCACCCGGGTGTGGTTGTGATCAACGCCTAGGGTGGGCCTAAGGGAGGAGGTGAACAGAACATGCTTCCTGTTGGTCCTGGGCTGCAGCTGGGGCTGTTGAGGACTGATGTACTCACAGCCTCATCCCCCAGATGCCCCATGGTGTGGTCACTGCAAGGCACTAGCTCCTGAGTACAGCAAGGCAGCTGCCCTGCTGGCAGCAGAGTCAGCTCCTGTCACCTTGGCCAAGGTGGACGGGCCTGCAGAACCAGAGCTGACCAAGGAGTTTGGCGTGGTAGGGTACCCTACACTCAAGTTCTTCCAGAATGGAAACCGCACAAACCCTGAAGAATATGTAGGTATGAGGTGGGTATGGCTGGGGGTGGGCAAGGTCATCAATGAGGAGTGGGTGTGGCCTAGGGATGGGTGGGGCAGAAGTCCAGTCTGAAATGGGGACATCTCTGTAGGACCCCAGAAGGCTGAGGGCATTGCTGAGTGGCTGAGGCGGCGAGTAGGGCCCAGTGCCACACATCTGGAAGATGAGGAAGGTGTCCAGGCATTGATAGACAAATGGGATGTGGTGGCCATCGGCTTCTTTCAGGTAAACTGGGAGGGGTGGACAGGCTACGGGAACAGCACTGGTGGTACCCATCATTCTCACAGGACTGGGTCTGTAGGACTTACAGGAAGAGGATGTGGCCACCTTCCTGGCTTTGGCCAGAGATGCCCTGGACATAACCTTTGGCCTCACTGACCAGTCACGGCTCTTTCAGAAGTTTGGCCTCACCAAGGATACTGTGGTTCTTTTCAAGAAGGTGGGTTAGGGCTAAGGACAGGGTTGGGGTCAGGGCCATACCTCCTGCTAACCTTGCTGGTGTCCAGTTTGACGAAGGTAGGGCCGACTTCCCAGTGGACGAGGATACTGGCCTGGACCTGGCGGATCTGTCCCGCTTCCTCATCACACACAGCATGCACCTGGTCACAGAATTCAACAGCCAGGCAAGTAAAGCTATAGGTCACAGTGAGGTAGGGTGGGGTGCAGGAACCTTGGGCTGGGGGACCTTGAACAGAGGTCCAGTGAAGTTAGGAGTTTTCTACCCCATCAGACATCACCGAAGATCTTTGCAGCCAAGATCCTCAACCATCTGCTGCTGTTTGTGAACCAGACACTAGCTCAGCACAGGGAGCTGCTGACAGAATTCAGAGAGGCAGCTCCCCCATTCCGGGGGCAGGTACTGGGGGGCCAGGAGGGAGGAGTGGTAGGGCTAAGGGAGATCCCAGCGTGGTATGACTTTTGGTAGGTGTTGTTCGTGATGGTGGATGTGGCGGCTGACAACGACCATGTGCTAAAGTATTTTGGCCTCAAGGCGGAGGAAGCCCCAACCCTGCGCCTGATCAATATTGAGACCACCAAGAAGTATGCACCTTCAGGTGTGGCGCCCATCACTGCAGCTTCTGTAGCTGCCTTCTGCCAGGCAGTCCTCCATGGGGAAGTCAAGGTCTGTAGCTCTTAGAGGTAGGAAGGAGAAGTAGCCCTACAACCTTAACCCTACATAAGACCCCAGTGAAAACCTGCTTGCTTCCCTAGCCCTACCTGATGAGCCAGGAGATACCCCCTGACTGGGACCAGCGGCCAGTCAAGACTCTTGTGGGCAAGAATTTTGAGCAGGTGGCTTTTGATGAAACCAAGAGTGTGTTTGTCAAGTTCTGTGAGTGCTGAAGAGGGGGAAGGTGGCAGGCTGGTGGGAGGCAGGGGTGTCAGCTAGCCAAGCCTGACTCCTCCCCCAGATGCCCCATGGTGCAGCCACTGCAAGGAGATGGCTCCAGCCTGGGAGGCACTGGCAGAGAAGTACAAAGATCGTGAGGACATTGTCATTGCTGAATTTGATGCTACGGCTAATGAGCTGGAGGCCTTCTCTGTGCATGGCTATCCCACCCTCAAGTTCTTCCCAGCAGGGCCAGACCGGAAGGTGAAGGGATGGATAGGGTAGGGAGTGGACTACTACTCCATAGCTGGCTTGGCTAGCATCAGTTTGTGGCTGGTGAGCATGCCCTCAGGTCCTTCTCTTTCTCCTCAGGTGATAGAATACAAAAGCACCAGGGACCTAGAGACATTCTCCAAGTTCCTGGACAGTGGAGGTGACCTGCCCGAGGAGCCCAAGGAGCCTGCAGTCTCCAACCCAGTGGGTACTCCATTCAGGATTCCAGTCCCTCAGTAGGTTCTCTCCCAGCAGCATGGGCAGAGGCAGGTCTGAACTGGGCTTCTGTGATCCATTCTAGGAAATACAAGCCAATTCCACCATGGGGCCCAAGGAGGAGCTGTAGCCATTTGCACACTGCATTCCAGGGAGTGGTGTTCTCCAGCGCTGGGGGGAGATGTGCACTATGAATAAAAATGTTTTCCCAGACTTTGTGTGGTTCATGAGCAGGGCTGGCTGGTCTCCCTAGCCTGGTCCCTGGTGCTTACCTCTAATTCAGTACCTCATGGGATCCGACCTTTCTCTTGTGCTCCTGACTTTGAGGCTTGCCTGGGCAAGAAGGGGTAACGCATACAGGGTTGCCTCCACTGCTTGGCTTGAGGGCAGCACATCCCTTGGCCCTGCCCCATTGGCAGCAGACAGTATATATCACAGACCCAAAGCAGTTCAAAAACTGTTTTATTTCATTATTATCCAAGTACCTTTGAAAAGATAATTGTACAAGTCATTGCATGAAAAAATGGGCTCAGGGTACCCCCTGCTGGCCCTGGCCTGAGAAATATACATATTTACATGGACACTTAGAAGGGACCAGACCCCGCCCCCTGCTGAACCAAGCTGGTGGCTGGAAACAGGCAAAGGGGCCTGAGGTACTCAGCCACCAGATTCACACAGTGGCAGGCAAGAGACAGCATGTTGAAGGCACTCAGTGACATGTACAATATACAGAGGCCCCCAAAGGATCCCCTGCTCCTTGGCCTGAGCCCAGCCAGGTGCAGTGGATAGGTTCCAGAGGGAGAGGAGGACACAGGAATACAAGCCCAGGTAAAGGTATCCCTGGGTCAGTCTGCATTCAGAAGCAAGAGCTGCTGAGGGTCATGGGATGGCTCCTGGTATTGCTTCAGGGGGTGATATGGGGGTAGGTGGGGCTTTCCTTTTTGAAAAGCAAAACAGAGAACCCCATGGAACCACTCAGTAGGAACCCCCTCCTTCCCAGACCCAGAGGGACAGAGGTATGGCAGACACCTGAGCCCCCACACCAAGAGCTTATGACACAATCTTGTGCTGTTCCCCACATCAGGCTCCTGAGGACACGGCTGCCCACTGGCCGATGGCTGTGCACCTTAAGTGATGGTGTAACCTGGGTGTGTTGCCCAGTGCTCAGTCCACCTTTTCCACCTTGCCAATGATCTTCTCTTCAAAGACAGGCAAGATTGCCTCGTCCTCCCGCACTTCTTCAAATACCACACCACAGTCAAACTCGTCACTCACTTTCTTAAAGTAGTATCTAGGAGCAGAAAATTGTGGAGACAGTGAGAAAACCCAGCTCCAGGAGAGGAATGCCACACTTAGGGTAGAGCTGGGACCACTGAAAGGGCTAAGTTAACAGCTTGTTGAGAATTGCTAGAAAACCCCTGGGAGCCCCAATCCTGGCTTCTGGTGGGTGTGGAGGCACTGATAGGATTATAATCCAGGAAGAGCAGAAGTCCTGCCATCCACATGGGCTGATACAAGTAGGACTCACAGTCTCTCAGGTATCAGCAATCTTTCTACTGGAGTTTAGAGCTGAGTGACATGGAGGAAGAGGTCTGAGGCTAGAACAGAGGGCCAGTCCAGCTTTGAGGCAGGGTCCTGATGCCACCCAATCCTGATGTGCCCTAAATAGGGCAGTAAGCAGCAACCATGGCTGATAGAAGGGGGGGGGGTGTGAAGGGAAAGATAAAAGACCGGTGGGACAGAAAACTCTTTCCTTCTACACTAAACCCATAAGCATGCTGGGCAAGTGTGCTTTAAGGCTGCAGCTTTTCTCACCTGTAGCTCCCCCTTTTGGTTAGCAGCTCCTTGAACTGGCCCAGGGTGACAGCACGGCCCCGCACTAGGGTCCGGTAGGGGATGGGCTCTCCACAGAAATAGTAGGCAACAACGATGCTGTCACATGGTGGTGCACTCCCACCACCTGCCTTTCTCTGTGATTTTGTCCTGGGACAGAAAGAGAATGGTAAGTAGTGGGCTCAGGCCAAGGTCACACAGAGTACCTCAATGGTACCATTTATAAACAGAGGACAAGACATCCCAGGGTCAGTACCTCACTCAGCAATGTGGTATTCACCTTGCCACCCACCTACCCAAAATCTAGATGCCAGTCCTGTGTAAACTACTCACTAGGAAATGAGCTAAAGGTCGAGCTCTAAGAAAAGCACTTCCCTCCAGACGATAAAAAGTAGCACAGACACCCACAATGACCAAGTCAGGCCCTCAGTTCACAAAGCCCCACCACCAAGGTTATAAGGGAGTCGGTCCCTAGACTCTGACAAGTCCCAACCTCTCCAAACTTCCATAACTCTCAAGGATGGACCAATCAGGGCTGAACAGATCTGAAAGGTAAGTGTTCCAGGACCAGGATCTCCAAAGCAGACTGGAGGCTTGAGCTGTTTCTTGCTCAGGTCCTATACATGCTGTGTAGCTGCTCTGAGTCTGCTCCTATGTTCCTATACCTTTCAATGGAACCCAGAAGCTTCCACAGCTGGCCTTACCCATGCCAGTGCTTTTCCTTGAACAAGTAAGATACCTGGGGCCATTCTGGTTGTGGGACTGTCCAGTTCTTAGACCTTTTTCTAGCAGTGGGCTTTTGAAACTCTGAAGGTGGAACTGGGGAGATCTACTTCTCCAGAACAACAGAGGGCCATCTGTAGAGCCCTAAGCTCAGGATACCCTCTCTCTTATGAGTTGTGGGTAATGGAGTTTGGGCTGGGTCAGCAGCAAGGCCCAAGGGGGATCCTCATCTTCCTGTCTTGAGTAAAATCACAGAAAGGGCTTAGTCAGAAATGTCCCTAACCTACATGTGGCCGTGGCAGCAAGACGTGCAGAGCCTAAGTCTTGGCTGTAGTCACACCACCTAGATCCTACTATAAACTTGGCTCATGCTCCTGGTGCTACTTCAAAGGGACTAGGACTGTGGACCTGATCCTGTATAGAATGATGGTCGACCCACCAGTCCCCAAACCTATCTCAGGAGCTCAGGAGAGTAAAGACAAGATGAAAGGCAAGCTGTGGTGCCTGAATGGACCACACACAGGTATAGGGATCATGTCCCTACACCGAATAGGCATGATCTTCTCTATTGGGAGACAGGAAGGAGAAGCCCCAGCAGGCCTTTCTCCAGCCCTGATGTTTCCTGGCTCAGTGATAAAGCCTATCAAAATAGCTGCTCCACTTTGGGATTTGGCCTGGGCTGGGATGGGCAGAACCAGGAGGACCCACGGGCGCACGTACTCTGTCTCGGAGAGTTCCAAGTCCGACACGGCTGGTACCACACTCAGCACCGGTGCACATGCTGGCCTGACACAGGTGCGTCCCCGCTGCATGACTGCCTGCACATACCTAGGGAACAACCCGCATCAAAGAGGATGGGGCTCAGCCAGTGTTGTGGACAGTGTGCACAGACAGGGTGAGCAGCAGGAACTAGCTACCAAGAACTCCCACTCACATATCAGAGGTCCTGCCCTAAGTGTCTAGACACAGGATCAATGCCAGTCTGTTCTTTAGAATACACTCTGGAGTACTGCTCGTCTCAGTGCTACAGGTTCTCTTTACCCCCTGTACAGATGTCTTCCCCAGGCTAGAAATTCTTGGAGAGGGCCTGCCAGTCCATCTCTCAGGGATGTGGCTCTTTCTACACAGACTTCATCATGAACTTCCTGAAGATGACATGGCTACCAGACATAAGCAGCAGCAGTGGTTATACTGTACCTTGGGGAGCTGTTGACACGACTGAGGCATGCCCCAGAATCTCTGCAAAGCAAACCTTTTCCAAGCGAGTCCTCTATGTGGGTACGTCACTATGGGTACCTAACAGTGACTTTACTCTCGTCTACCTTTCCAGGACCTTCCACGGCCTGGGGCTTTCACCTCATACATCTACACTTGCTTATAAAATTCCAGACAAACAGACTCAACACATTCAATTTCCTCACACATGAAGATTTTGGAGGCAGCAGTTAAGACCTGATATATGTGTGTGTGGTGATAGTGTTCTCATACCCCAAAACTCAAACCAGAAGGGTTTAGCTGATGCTACTTGCCAGGAGAAAACCACAACTGTTACCATCATGTGGGGCTTGCCAGGTAATGGTAGGATGAACAGATGCAACCTCTGTGACACAAGAGAATCCTAACTCTCAAAGTACCCTACTCCACAAGAAAATCCTGCCTCTTAGGAACACTTCGCTACTGAGAGCACCCTTCCCAGACCACTGAGGGCATTAGTCCTAGCAGATCCCACATGACATCCTCCTCCACTGCCTCGACCCCTGCCAGATACACACACTATTTCAGCACCAGGAGGAACACTTCCTACACAGAACAGGCAGCACAAATGCATAACATGGCTTACAGCAGGTGGCAAAGTGGCCCCTTGTGTTCAAGGTAGCTGCAACTTCTTTTAGAACCAAAGTTAGAATAGGTTCAGAGCTTGGTATGGGTCTGTAGAGATTTTCAGTGAGCTAAAATGTCTAAGCTTCCAGGGAAACTATAGCCTGATCCTATTAGAGACCACAAGTGCAGAGTCTGCTGGTCATGAGTCGTAGCATCCCAGGGAAAGAGAACCCTCAGAAGTGAGGTCAGACCCCAGAATCTATACAACCTAAGTTAATAATGGGGCTGATAGTTTCAAAGGGCAATAGTGGTCTTTGTGTAACCATAGTTCCAGGGACTGGGTAAGAAACAGATTCTAAGCCTTGATGGAGATTACTACCATTTGAGAATTCCAATGAGTCAGAATGTCCAAGTAACCGACTGAAAGCCGAAATAAAAGGTTTCTAGAAGGCATGTTCTAGCTCCCAAGAACACTGCTACCCAAAGAGAAATCTTTTGAGTTTAAGCAGAATATATTCCCTAAGGAAAAGAACAGGCTTGCTGAACGGTGATGGTGAAGGGGTCAATATTGTGATCACTCCAGACAAATCCTATTATAACTGTCTGTGCTTCAGAATTGTCCATCATCTCCCTGTGGTTGTGCTTTGTGTGGCTGTCATCAGAGATGGTCAGGAATTCACCACTAAGCTGAGCATGCCCAAAAGCTGTTGTCCATCTGACCAAGTGCTGGTGAGAACATTCACCTCATAGCCTCTGTCCTGCAGCAGGGCTACCTCTGTGGTTCTCAGTGGAGAAGCAGTCCAGAATGGGTGTCTTACCTCAAGGGCCTTAT